TTGGCCTCGATTTTTTGAGAATTTTTCATTCGTTTCTCACAAATTGTTTCCCTCGTGTGTATACATACATGGTGAATTTGACCGTGAGGCTCTTTTATTCAACAAGGTATATATACCTCTGCAAAATAAGTTGTTTGGCCAAAAATTGATTATCTAAAAAATGTATGATAAAAGGGTTCACTTTGTTACGAAATTATGAAGTTGCAAATGTAGAAAAAAGCTATCGAAATAATGCAACTTTGAGGTATCTAATGCTGGACTTACAATGGCATTTTTGCGTTTTCTGAGTCAATGTAAACAAAATGTCCGTTATCCTAAATATTTTATGTGAGCATTTTTTGCCAAACGAATCATTTTGGTGAGATTTATGTCCTGCTAAAAAACCTAACTTTCAGATCCACCCTGTATACAGGGTGTTTCAATACTATTTGGAAATGTTTGAACTATAGAGTCGTGTGCTCGAAATATGAAGAATCCACCCAAATCACTTGAATAAAATGTTTTATTCAAAAATTCAGAAATTATTTTTGCCTATAAGTAATTCGAATGTGATTGACCTATCATTGTAATATTTGGCAGGAAATGTAGATACTACTTCTGATTTATGAAAGATGAACGTTCCTGACTATATCCAGAGGCGTACGAAAGAGGCAAGTGACTGATTGATCTTTCCCAATCTCTATGCCACTGGCGGAATTTACATTTAATCACAATTTTTCGATTTTATACAATTCTTTCCACGTGAATATCGCACTCTTTCTTTATAGCGATAAAATCATTATTTTTCGAGATATTTCGAGTTGAACATGAAGCTGCACAACTATTTTGATTTTGATATTCCAGTAAAGACACTTCTGAATGGCATAACTCGGCGAAATGTTACTTTCGAAATGAGTAGACACCATCTCTAAATCTTTTTATACATTAAATAATCAAACTACGTGTAAGATAGAGGAGAAACATTTCATCTAGCCGATTTGGATTGAATCTTCATATTTTGAGCTTAGGCTTTCATAGCTGGAATATTTCCAATGTGTAATGAAACACCCCATTGAGCCAAGCTTTATCTCTATCCCTATTTTCTGTGAGGAAATCAAGGTAAAGATTCCATTGGTTTTCATTCTTTTCGACTTTTCAATATAAATTTTTCCTCCTGAGACATAAGAGTCAAAATGAGGTCTTTGAAGGTTATTGTTTCGATTATTATCAAAGATAATGAAGTGAGTGTCATAGTCAGTACTCCTTTTGTATATTCAGCAGACAGTTATTTTTCCAGTAAGGACACTTTCGGCAATGTCACCTTCGAAATGAATAGACACATTTCAAAATTTTTGAATATAATAAATTTTAAAACCCCCTGCAACAGAGAGGGGACTATCCAAGCGATTCGGGTTGAATCTTCATATTTTAAGCTCAGGACATTATAGCTGAAATATTCACAATTAGTAATGAAACACCTTGTATAGCCAACCTTTTTCTCTCATCCTGTTTCCTGTGAGGAAATCAAGGTGAAGAATTCATTGTTTTCTACTCTCCTCAACTTTTCAATATAGTCAGTTCCCAATTGCTCCCCTCCTAAGATATGAAAGTCAACATTGAGTCTCTGAGGGTTGTTTCGACAGCTAAATTTTCCGAATTTCATCCATTATCAAAGAGAATGAAGTGAGTGCCTTAGTGAGAACGCCTTTTGTATATTCAGCAGACAGTTATTATTCCAGTAAGGACACCTTTGAATGGCCTAACTCGGCAATGTCACCCTCGAAATGAATAGACACCATGTGAATGTGTACGAAAGTGTTTAGGACTTTGAAATATCACCGGTGCTGGATAGTAAATTTCTCATTTCCCCTAGGATTTCCCGTATCAGAGGCCGAAGAAGACAACACAATAATTTATAACAGTACGTGAAGGGAGGGAGACAGATAGATACGCGCAGGGAAATGGAGGGAAATGTTCCTGGTCTGTTTTACAAGATGGGGTGTCATATTTCTGAAGGAGAAACAAGTCATCTTCTTATGCTCTTATTAAGTGCGGTCCCATATGGCTGAGACGGTTCCATGTTCTGGGGATGTGATAAACTTCTCATTCGCCGAGCTCATAAGTTCTGTTTCCAGAGTGGAAATAACCTTCGCCACTTCTTTTCCAACTGTGAACGAGAAGGAAAATTCCATAGCTGTCAATTCGAAATGAGAGCTGATATAGGTATTCGCCACTGTACCCAGGAAAATCTTTAGTCATACAAGTATTCATTCAAAAAATCTCATAGATACTTATTGTATTATTTACCTTCAAAAATATTCTGATGAATGTGAGCTGCTGGCAATGAAAATGAACAGATTCATCTTCCAACAGAATCCTTCTTTCCATAGGACTGATAGCTTTCACCCTCAATATCTTTTTTTCAGTAATTGAAAGAACAGGTCGATTTCATTCTCAAGGAAAACAATTGATGTCATTTGTTTAGCCGTCTTGGATCTTGCCTAGGAGGGGTAGAAATTAACCTTATAATTTCAAATGGGAAGGTGGGTCAAGTGGTACATCGTTATGAAAGGCGTTCAATACCTACCTCCTCTCCCTATCCTCCCTAGGAACGCATGATGTTCTTTGAACATTATAGGGATTCCCTTTCGTGCGCTCCAAGCGATAAAAAAAACAAAAAAATTCTCTTTCCAACAGTACCCTAGTGCATCATTTTTCGATGAGCAGTTTCCGCAAAATGTTGTTCTGAAATTACAGGAGTAATTAAAACTAATATGCACTGAGATGAATGGTTTTCAGTTTAGTATTATTGAATGGACTCTCCTTCCAGTTCAGAAACTTCCAACAATTCGAACTGAGATCAGAGTCAATACAATAACACTAACTTCAAAACCATGCATCTCAGTACAGGCATGTTCTTATTTCTTTTGTGAATTCAGATAGTTATTTCTCGGAAACTGCTTATTAGGAAATTTTAGAGTAGTGTACTGTTGATAGAAGAATTGAACGCCATTCGAAATGATATGCATCTTGACGTACTATTTCCTATGAGGCTCTACCCATCCTAGGGGTTTGCACCATGATATTATTTACTGGAAAGAAGATATTTAGGGTGGAAAGTTTCCGAAATATCACCCTGTATAACGAGATTATAATTGGGAGATCGATTTGGAAACATAACAGTATCTTCTACCACTCCTTATCAAATACCATCCTTGTCATCCACGCACATTTAGAATTTGAATATCTCACCCACCGCTAACTCTCGAGTGTCCTAACCCATCTTTGCGTTTGAGTGTTGATTGTTCAGACCTGTAGTCCAAGATATTGTGAACTCCTTAACAAGTGTGAAGCATTTTTCTATTCACGGAGACGTGATTCGTAGAATGTGCAGAAATTTTAAGGACCTATTGAAAACTTTGAGTGGGTTGAGGTGCCACAGGGGTGTGTTGACAATTTCTCAAAGTCAGGTTACGACATAGGGCGCTAACCCAACATAGAAATAAAACCCAACGTAGACAGCTAACCCAACGTAGGAAGCTAACCCAACGTAGACATCAAACCCAACGTAGAGAGCTAACCCAATGGAGAAATCAAACCCAAAGTGGAGACCTACCCCAACGATAGAGCTAACCCAACAAAGGGAGCTAACTCAACGTAGAAATCGAACTCAACGTGAGGATCATACCCAACGTAGGGCGCTAACCCAACGTAGAAATCAAATTCAAAGTAGACGGCTAACCCATCGTAGAGAGCTAACCCAACGTAGAGAGCTAACCCAACGTAGAAGGCTAACGTTGGGTTTGATTTCTACGTTAGGTAAGATTCCTACGTTGGGTTTCATCTCTACGTTGAGTTTGATCTCTACGTTGGGATAGCTTTCTACGTTGGGGTAGGTCTCCACTCTGGGTTTGATCTCTACGTTGGATTAACCCAACAAATGGAGCTAACTCAACGTAGAAATAGAACCCAATGTGAGGAGCTAACCCTACGTAGAGATCATACCCAACGTAGAGGCTAACCCAATGTAGAGAGCTGCCCAAAATACAGAAAAATACTGAAAAAATCCGAGTGGATTCTATAGAAATCTGAACAGATTCTGCTAAAAAACTGGGAAAATATGAAAAAATTACGAAAAAATCTGGAAAAAATCTGAGAGGATCCAGAAGAAATTTGGTAGAATCTGAAAATATTCTGGCAGAATGTAGCAAAATTTTGGAGAAATTGAGAAAAATTGTGGAGATATCTGGAAGAATTCAAAAACATTCTGGAGAAATTCCGGAAGAATCTGGAACAAAAAACTGGAATTATCTGAAAACATCTGTAAAATCTGTAAAAAATCTGTAAAAATCTGTAAAAATCTGTAAAAATCTGTAAAAATCTGTAAAAATCTGTAAAAATCTGTAAAAATCTGTAAAAATCTGTAAAAATATGGAAAAATCTGGAGAAATCTGAAGAGTCTGGAAAAATCTGGGACAAATCTGAAACCAAAAAAAAAACGCATAACACTCAGAATATCGAATTTTTTAAAATTCTGGTAGGTTCAAACATAGTGACATCGGTGATGAAAAGTTTTTAGTTTCAGTTTGAAAGATGCACTACTATTATTGTCATGTTCATATTATTGCTGTTTCAAAAATGATTCAGAGTGTTCCTAAGAAGAGTTGATTTATATTTTCCTCGGAAATTGAGTATTCATGTTTAATGTTCATGGAACCTTTTTCTCCTATTGAAACGTCAAGAATATGCTCCAGAATTGTTGACATCCATCTTCGAAGAAACACGATGTTATCCTCGAAACAAATGAAAAAGCAGTTTCCGTTTCAAATGAGTTTCATTTCTAAATCGTGGAAAACACGCCTCCAAAAAATGATCCGCATTTATCAAAGACGAGCTCCTCCACCTTTATTATAATTTCGCACATGGTGCCTTGCTAGCCTGAACATATTTCTTTGTTCCCTTTGAAAACTCGCGAGTTAGATTGTATCATTATATTCTGACAGTTTGACTGGTGTTGCAGGATGAAGAAAAGTGAAGCCGCCGCCTGTGATACTCCGGGATCCCGGAGCCAAATCCAGGAAGATTCCGATACTTTAGACCCCAAATATAACTTTAGGATTGGAATTTATGGATGGCGGAAAAAGTGCCTCTACATTCTCATATTCGTGCTGTTGGTTATGGTCGTCGTGAATCTAGCGCTTACGTTGTGGGTTCTCAAGGTCATGGAGTTCTCGTCGGTAAGTTCATCACTTTACCTACTACCAGTATGTAATGTGAAACATTACGACACTGATTTTAGTGTCGTTATAAGAAACTTCACCGCCCTAGTGCGATAAAGTATCTCGTACTCAAATAAGAAATGAGAATTAAGTAATTATAAATAAAGCAGGTACTGGAGTTTGGATTGCTTCATTTGCCACAATATTCATATTTGGATCGGATCGTGATCGGAATTCATGTGTCGATAATTATTTTTATGCACGACCGGGCGTAAAGTAGCACTTTACCGCCCGGGTTTGCGGGCGTAAAGTTGCTCTTTACCGCCCGCGGACTACTTTACCACTGTCACTGTCATAACGATAGAAATCTAGATTGACATTAAGAAAGCATGAAAATAGTACTTACTTTCATCATAAGGTACGAATACTCTGGTGCTTCACTCAAGAATAACTCTATTTCTTCTCTGCTTGGAATCTTCGATTTCTTTGATTTATAACCGTCAGATTTTCTTTTCAAAAAAGCTATCAATCTTGCATATTTACTAATATCTCTATAATCATGTACATTTGAAGTAGCTTTCAACATGGAATAATATGACCACATGGAAGAAGGCTTACGAGATTTTGATTTTTCCAGAAAATAGGCAAGAAGCACACTTTCAGTGTAGTTCTTATTTTTTACATCATTTCTGTCGCACCAGCTTACGAATTCTTTGTATACTTTGTCGTATATATTTTTTGATTTACTTGGCAATAAACCCGATTTTGCTTCCTCAGCTGCCTCACTAATTTCTGGTGGAGTACAATTCACACTTTCTTCATCACTAGACTTCATTTTGAAATCACTAATGAATTATTCATGATTACACAAATTGACAGTTAATATGGCTACTGGCCTATTAATTCCTATTTCGAAAAATTGACTCAGTTGCCATGGTAACGTTGATTTCATACTTCTTGATTAATTGTATTTGCGATATGGATACAATACAGTCTCACTGCAACCGTGATCTATTTTTATTGTGCTTGAGGGGTGAAGAGATACCTACATGAGATATCAAATATATACAGGTCGTGCGTAAAATGTTGTATGTATTTCGGGCGTAACTAGCTTTTATGGACCTAGGCGTGTTAATAGCCCTCGCTATCGCTCGGTCTATTACTTACACGCTGCGGTCCATAAAAGCCTATTTTACGCCCTTGATACATAAATAACTATTTAATTCAACGCTTGCTTGTTTTTTTTTCCTCGATTAAGGTGCATCGATTTCAGAGATCATTAGCACTATACTCTAGAAAAAAAACTGGGATTCATGTACGAAAAAATATATTCATCGTATATTCAGATTTGTTTAAAGAGGTCAGTTGCTGTCAGGAATTTAAGGAGGTTTCTAATCATGGTGGCGTTTCTGGAATTCATTGCAAAATTATTTTCTATATGATAGAGTTGCCTAATATTCGCGTATCCTGTACACATGCATATGATATTTGATACTGTTGTTGATTGACCGCATCGATCGCATATTGGAGGTTCTTGTCCATCAAGGAGAAAAGCATGTGTTAATGCAGTGTGTCTAAACCTCAGTCTGTGTATTTTATACATATTCCTAATGAATCGTTAATTCAAGGAATGTTAATTATTTTTGATTGAATAATTAGCGTTTGAGGTAGTAGGTGGAATATTGTACTAAATTCATATCGTAAATTCATATAACGATCATCGATGATTCATCAAACTTTGCCTTCGGCCCCGTTTGACAAATTTCCCATCTCATATCATAATATGAGTTTTTATAATACATTTATCGTAAATATCTATTACCGGCCACCAATATTTGTGATCTACTTTACATCACTATGAGTTTCTTACTAGTTCGGTGAAGTAAAAAATATTCATGATATAGGTGCTAAAAGTGATATTTTATTTTGTGAGAAGGGAAGAAAATTAAATCATTTTTTGCAGGTATACCATACACCATTTTTACTACAAAGGAAACATATCATTACGGATCAAATTTTGTCCATAACTTCCGTACAAGCCTCACCAAAATAAACTCTGTTACATATACCAATGAGACTATCTATGGAGTTTTTCATTATAATAATTGTGGTTACACTAATTGTACCTTTAATTGGATAACCCCTTCAATTCGAATTATGTTTACATATTTTCTCATGAAAATAAATCACCTTAAGCACAGTATGCGTTGAAAATAATACTTTCAATAAAGTTTGTAGAAAAGATAATTTTCTCATTTTGAATTCTAGTTTTATGATCAGAAGAGAACAAGAACACTGATTTGTCATTCATTTAATTGTTCTATTTATTCAGTATTTTGACTGCCCAACAGATAATATCGTCGGCTTACTATCAAAACCTAGTAAATCCGAATTCTAGGGAATTTTAGTTTTGAACATTTTCACCATCTACGAAATTCAGCGCACCCATCACCAAATCATCGTAAGTCTATGTTCTTGGTCAATCTTCTCGAATATTTCTGCAGTGATGCGAAGGACAATCTTGTTTCGATTCTTTATGTGAACAGACTTACGAAGTTCTGATCTGTATGTTATCTATCTAGTAGAGCTTCTGAGAAGATGTTATGGATATTTGAATAATTCAATTCTGTTCATTCCAAATGAATACATTGATTGAAATATTTCAGTTTATTATTGTTGAACCCATATTTCTCATTGTTATCAAAACTGCCGCTGATTTTCTAAATGCACTGTAGAGCAAAGCCAAACTAAATGACAATTTTCACTAGTAATTGATCAAAATCAATTCAGTCTGAATAATGTTAAATTTATTTTTGTTAATACTTCGTATGTCGTTTATTTGAACATTGAGAATATAAATCTTCTCATAATGTTGATTTCCTCCATCAAGCAGGTACCTTCACAAAGGAGGAATAGCCTTAAAAAATGAAATTGAATCGTTCGAAGTATCTAGTGGAAAACGTTTTTCCCCTCCTGAACAATTAGCTCTGAAAGACTTACGAGGTTTAGTCAGTATTATTAATATTCAGTTCTCAGTATGAACTATAGAGTACCTAGAAACTTTGGTGACCGAAGTTCAATATTCCATAAGTATGTTAGAGCAAAATGACTCGGTTCTAGTTTTTGTACGACTATATAGAAATAAATAATTTGACGTATACAAATCAGATATTGATCGTGCCTACAGAAATATTAAGAGAAATTCATCGAATGAGAGAAAGAGGCAACGAGCAGCTAGAGAGAGAAAGAGTGACAAAAGGAGAAACATTATATCCTTATAAAGAGCCTGAATATTTTGAACTTCGGAGTATGAAGTAAGCACGGATCGAATTGTTTCGTAAGATGATATATCCCGCAAATATGCGCCCAACTCGATAGAGGAAATATTTCCTCTCGCGTATATCCCGATGGAAAGGGCCAATCCCCAACAATATGATCGTAGTAGACAGGTCCAGAAAGCTACGGCAAAGGAACGAGCTTGATTATACGGTAGGCCACACGTTTACGCTAGACAAAGGCAGCTACCTCTGATCCCATTGCAAATATTTGACGTGTTGCCAATATGGGTCGCTTGATGCAAACTGACGTATTTGTCATCTAAACAGGGTACGGACAGATCCTCGTCTCCTCTCACTCTAAAGGGAAAAACATAATTTTGCTCATAAAAGGAGTAGGCTGAGATCGATTTTCATAATTTTTTGCATGGTATGTTCTGTGACTGTAAGTTACGTTCTGAGATGATTTTGATCATCATCAGTGACCTGCAAGTGTTTCAAACAACCTTTGAAATTCCATTTATTCGCTTAAACATATATAACATGACAGTTGTAAGAATAAAAAATCAGTACATGAGGTACGGTGACTAGTGAAACATATAAAACCTATATAAGTAAAACTATCACATGTTTAAACTCCAAGGGAGTCCTCAGAGGTGGCCGATGCAGGCCCAAGGATATACGATCTGATGGCAATCATGAGCAAACCAACTCCTAAGATAGACGCGTCCTTCAATTCGGTTGATATCGGTGAGTTGCTCAGGGCGAGCAGGGTTGTACAGGGTGATTCACCATAAATGTCCCCCCCTCTAACTCAGTTATTTTCAAACCGATTTCAAAATTTGAAATATCATCTTGAATGATTTTCGATAACGTTTTCTTCCGCTACATCAGAAAATACAGGGTCACATTCGATTTTTTTATATGCAACACCCTATTTTTCATTGTATTTTCAGATTCTCCCTCAAGAGCTGATTTGTTCAATGTATCACACTTGGGGTCTAGCGGGAATGATTATAGAGATATAGGGTGTTCAAAATCGAGATTTTTCAACTTTAGGATTTTTTTGAGACGAAACTATTCATCATCGGTCAAAACGGCTTCCATGTCCGTATCTTAACTTTTGATTTACTATCTACTGACATTTGATGATTGGAACAGATACAGGGTGATTAGAATTCTGAATCTTGAACCAATTTAGTACCTATAATTGCATTTTTTCAAGATTTCTTTTGACGCCTATGAATGTGACGTGACAGACACTAGATCAATTTCGATGTTTATTCTTGATGGTAGAGTAAACCTCTTGAATAGCTTTATTATGGAGTTTTTCAGAAAAAATAATATCAAATTAACGTTGTATCGTTGTTTACTGCAATCTGTTTCATGATATTGAGTTCTTCATTGAAATCTAAGAAGTTGACTTTTCTATTTCCATTGTGAATTTGATGTTTGGAATTAATGTTTGTAATCATTATATTGGTGGAACGTGTCTATTGGTTTCTTCAAAGAAAACTATAACGTCATCTACGTATCTATACTAATACAAAAATTATTTAGATTTGATGATCGTTTCATCAATGGATCAACAATGGAAATCTCATCGTTTGTTGATGTGTTGGTTCGACTAGAAACAAACTAATTATGTTTTCCAAGGCCGGTCCTGGAATAACATTCTTTTATTATGTCAATCGTCATCACTGTGGATAAAGAACATGAAAACCAAATATCAAAAAAATGTATTGGGTGGGTCATCAGTTATAATTAATTGAAAAGATGAGGGAAACCCTGTATCTTGGTTATAGAGAATGATAGACCCACTGTATGCGCATTTCACAATGAATCACCCTGTATAATATCTTCGTATTTTCTTGCATAATGAAATTTCAGGATGAATGAATCTCCTTTCAATGCAACTTTGCAGAAACCCGAAGTCTATTAACGGAAAGAACAAAATAAATGACCGTAGGCTCTTCCCTGCTTATATACAAAAATTTTCACGATTCCATCATATTATATCCTAATCATTTCTCCTTTGAATCTGAAAAAACGAGACGTATTCAGCTCCTGCGGTACTAATTATATCCGGAGGTCTTGAAATAAAGATGTTCATTACGAATGATAGTCGTCTTCGAAAAACCCCCTTATTTTCAAATGAGAGCCTCAAATTGGAATCATAGTGATCCACTCACCTAACCAGAAAACGACGTTATGAGAACAATGAATTCAATACAATGAAAATGATAATTTGACCAGAAAATTATTGGGAAGTAATGAGAAGACACATTTTCAGACTCACCAGTTGGCGTTACTGAAACGTGAGGTCAATTTCAATGTTAAAAATCCCAAAATTTTGACAGATAGCCCTATAAAGGCTGTGACCTGTTATATCGAGAATATTCAGAAAAAAATGATGTTTATGGAATATATAATAGTATATTATGTAACAAGTGTTATAAACGTCCTTTTAATAACGAAGTCTAGAAGAGTTTATAAACGCGTTACATACTATGCTTATTCTACGAACTCCAAACTTTACATTAACATACCTGCTATTCCTGCTAACCTACAAAATAATTCGAAAGGAATGGGAATTGAGAACATAATACATGCAACTGCAAGCAACCAGCGAGACACTTATAAGTGATATTAGTTGTAGATGTGTCCAGTCCATTGCTTACTAACCATTGTTCCACGTTTATTGTCATGCTTAGCGCAGAATAAATGAATTGTTCTCAAAGATGGATGCTTCATTATTACACTTCTTGGAGATATGCAAGTACCAGAACATTCTCTTCGATTTCACTTTCGTCTACATTTCGCATGAATTTTCAATGAAGAATTCTGATACAAACGAATATTGTTTGAATAATTCTGATAAAAAATTTGAAAATAACAGTTGACAGCTAATACAATTGACAGACCTGACATGTCTCGAATTACGGAAGCTGTGTTTAATGAACTGTGTTGTCATGGTGATGTGTTTAAGAAATCGTGTTGCCATGGTAACGTGTACAGGGTGCGCCTCTTAAAATGGAACCCCCCCTCAACTCTTTTGTTTTCGGAGATATGAAAAAATGTTAAATAAAAAAGTTGTTTGAAACGACCCAAACTTTTATTTCGTGAAGTTGTTTCATATACAGGGTCATTCGTTTTTCCAGAAAGGACATCAACTTTGATTTTTCCAATAGAACACCTTATATATTTTCCAACAAGTCGATAGAGCTTTTTTTTCTGATTCCAAAAATATATATGAGTTGCATATTTGGATGAAAAGTAATTGAGTTATTGATAATCAAAGTTGACCAGAATACCGCTTTATGAATCTTCACTTCATAGGTAAAATATCATCTAATGTAAGTTGAACATAGTGGGCTTTGAAATAATGTTTATAAATTGTTTGAGCTCTATGTTTATCATGAATTTGAAAACGTTCGATTTCTATAGAAAATAAAAATGGGTTACAGTTTGAATGAAAGATGCGAAATTTTGGAAATATACATTTCTTGCGGGAAAAATGCAACCGCTGCTCGTAGAGAATATGTGCATCGGTTTGGTGATCGTCCACTTCCATCATTGAATACCTTCAGGAGGATCTTCGAAAAGTTCAGACGAGATAGTGGTAATTTGGATGATATGAAAAGGAATCGGCAAAAAACGGTACTCATAGAAGAGACAGAGGAAAATATATTACTTTATTTCATTGAAGACCCTAGTCGTTCGACAAGAATGGCTGCAAATTACTTCAATATATCCACGACAAGTGTGGGACGAGTTTTGAAGAAGCATCATATGAAGCCATACAAAGTAATGCCAGTGAATTATTTGTTTCCTCAAGATCATCCAAATCGCTTACGATTTTGTCATGAAATAATTGAAAGACATAATCGCGATGCAAATTTTACTAAGAATATTTTATTCACGGATGAGTGTTCATTTTCAACTTCAGGAGTGTTTAATAGGAAAAATGAGCATAACTGGGCTACGGTTAATCCGAGAGTAATGAAACCGATTAAAAAACAAGGCCGGAGAAGTGTGAATGTCTGGTGCAGTGTTTATAACACTAAAGTAATTGGTCCAATCTTCATTGATGGCAGTCTTACGGGGCAAAAATATTTGGATATGTTGCAAGGTGATATTGAGAACTTGCTTGATGAAGCAATCCCTTTGAATAGACGAAACCAATTGGTATGGCAGCAGGATGGTGCACCTCCTCACAATGGAATTGAAGTCACGAACTACCTTAATGAGAGTTATGACACTTGGATTGGAATGCGAGGACCAATATTTTACCCGCCCCGTAGCCCAGATCTGACATCTTGTGATTTTTTCCTGTGGGGAGCGCTGAAAGACAAGATCTATAAACATGATATTCCAGATACTGACTTCTTGAAAAATAAAATAACAGAAGAAATTCAATTATTGAATAATGATCCAATATTATTCGAAAGGGTTCGCCAAAATTTTATAGCAAGGTGCCAACACTGCATTGACCAGAATGGCGGAATTTTTGAAAATTTGTTGTAGATAGCTCTAATGTGTTTTCACAATCTCATATAGTTCATTCAATAAATATTGTTTATAAAGATTCATTCAAGTTTTGTTGTCAAGAACTCTTGTTGCTATTTCGACATCTACGCATACGTCACTGTTATAGTGTGATACCAAATCTATCCACGAAGTGATTTGTAGTTTATTGACTTTTCCATGGAATATTTTTTCAAAGCCCACGTTGTTCAACTATGATATAAAGTGAGAATTCATGAAGCGGTATTTTGGTCAACTTTGATCATCGATAACTCAATTATTCTTCATCCGAATATGCAACTCATATATATTTTTGGAATCAGAAAAAAAAGCTCTATCGACATGTCAAAAAATATATAGGGTGTTCCATTGAGAAAATCAAAGTTGATGTTCTTTCTGGAAAAACGAATGACCCTGTATATGAAACAACTTCACGAAATAAAAGTTTGGGTCGTTTCAAACAACTTTTTTATTTAACATTTTTTCATATCTCCGAAAACAAAAGAGTTAAGGGGGGGTTCCATTTTAAGAGGCGCACCCTGTACAATATTTTGAATAAATCACAGATCGTCAATTCGTGATTAATCGTACATATCCGTACGCTAAATGCCATTTTAGTTATGTGAGTAGAAAAACAAGTAAAAACTCCCAAGTTATGAAGAGACCTGAGCTGACTTACGTTTTCTTACTCTCAACATGGAACTTTACACTGTTATAAATCCTTTTGGTAGTTAACATTTGGTACTGAGTGGCATTTTTCAGTGAAGTTTCTCTGAAAATTGGGTATTTTTACAATTCCTTCCAATGATGTCAATTTCAATGACAACTTTGATTGAACAGCACACATTTTGAAATGAAACAAACCAGAAAGAAAGCTTTCAGTCAATCATTAGATGAAGCAAGTGAGAATCTTTCATTCTCGAACGATTTCACCAAATAATTGGTAAGAACATCTCACTGTCTCAGTCCCTTTTCAATGTGAAAATAGTGAACAGTGTATTTGGGAATAACATGTCGACCGTTCTGTCCACTGAACTGTTCATTGTACCAGTATATCACCTGAGGAAGCTACTGTGTTAGCGAAACATGTTGTGTGTATTAGAATTTTGTTCAAATCTTATCGTTTATGAAGCTTTCACAATTACAATTATATTCTGAGTACCTGCATGATTCGAAAATACCTCTACAACATTTTTAAGCTTTTACCGTTGCTCCCCCAGCTGAACAAACAATCTCATTTCGGATTGAAATCAATGACATCCTACTAAAATCTTCATTTTTAAAACCAATGGAAAGTAGTAAAAGTGTTGACAAAATCGAATGAGATGTTTTTTCGTTCAGCATGAATAAAGACATAACCTCAAATATCCATATTCAATTTGAAAATATCATCTTCTCGAACTTACTACATTGAAGCATAAGGGTATACCCTCAATGTACCAAAGGTCCACACTTATTGATAAAATCGCTTATTTGAAAATCAAGAAATTGGAATTTCGAATTGATCGTTTCCTTCTCCTGTAAAATTTACTGTTTCGCATTTGCGTCAGTATTATTCAAGGGCAACGATATGCCAGGAAGATTAAAAGGAGAAACTGTTATTTTTTATCATAATCTCTTGGCAATCTTCATCGTTCCACTTCCTGAAATAATGGACTCCTCGTGACGTTTGGATATACATTTGAAATATTAATAATAATAATAATAATAATAATGTTTATTTGCAGAATGATACAGGATATAGACATATAAAGGAACAACTGATTATTAGGAATTGATTATCGGATCATACACCAAGATACTCTCCTTGTTTCAGGAAGGAATGGGCCAGCTCAAAATAGTTTCAGGGGGCTTGAAGCTAGAAGGCAAAGCTTTCATCTTGGACAGTCTGATAGCGAGTAGTATAAGATCTAGAGTCAATCAGCCCATAGTCATAGAGTCAACAAGGAATTTGACGATGAGAGCTAGGGATGGAAATGGATACGCTAACAGTTGGATGGTGATAGGTGAGATTCTCAAAACTACACAAGCAATAATAGAGCTATGATATGAAGCTACTTTTTGAAACAAGATCATGAAGTTAGGTTTTTTTTCTAGGAAATGACAGAATGGAGAGTTTAGCTAAGACCTTCAAGATATTGGACGAGAAGGGATCTGTCATATTCTCAGCCAACAGGAGTGAAGTCACTGTTGGTTCAGATAGCCTACGAGTGACAGGTGAAGGTGGTACCAAATTCACCGGCTCTGTTCAGGCTACGAGAGTCCGAGCACCAGCTGGACATGAATTAAGGTACATTTATCATAAATTCTTATAATCCATGGACACAATAGGCACAATCCTTACCATTTGAACTAGTTCCATGTGATTTGTTTCAAACTATGATTGATGGGTTAGGAACATAATATGAGAAATAACACTTACACCTACATCACTGGAATTGTACATGCATAAAAGTGATTGAAGGAAAAGGTTATGCTTCGAGGGATTCGCTTCGAAGTAAAAGGTTCAACTCTTTTCTTATTTATAAAAAGAAGCATTTGCTCAAAAACAGGAAGATGTGCTTCTGAAAAAAGGAATCTAGGTTCACAACAACTTTTCATGCTCTATTCAGTAGCTGCCCAGCCATCACGCAGCTCATTGTAACGTCACATTTGCATATTTTGAAGAATATGGACGGGCTTGAGTGATTGATCTTTGGTTGTGTAGTCACAGTGCCGGGTTTGTTATTGCTAATATGGTGCATAAAACTGCATTTAGATTTGAGGAGGATAATGTGGTGTGGTTGACCGACCACATTCTTGGGGCACTGTCACCTGTGTTGAAAATTGAAATATCTCTGCGTTATTGCGCGAAAACTGGATTCCAGAGCAGAATTGCTGAAGAATTGGGATGTACAGTCCAGTCCATGTCCAGTTTTCGATGCTTTTGCATGATATCTCAGTTATCTTTGGAGATAGAATTTTGCGGTTTTCGCAGTCCTGTGCCACTTTTTTGTGAAACTCAAGATGGCCTAATCATATTTAGCAGGTCTGTTTCCGTTTATGAGATACAGGGCGATTTTGAAAATTTATACTTTTTGGACCCCCTCTATATCTACGAAGTTCATCAGCGAAAATGTCAAATTGAAATCTGAACCCATAGAGAAATGCAGAATCCAGTGGCGCACAAAAAAATTTCTTTCGGGGTGTGGTTTTGAAGATACGACTCAAACCTATGATTTTTTAAATTGAACACCCTGTATTTCATGAGCTCATTAAATTCCTTATTTTTTTGCCTTCGAAATGATATATGATGTATGAATATAACATTTTCAAAAATGTTCAAAAATCACTAAAACATTGAATTTTAATAGCGGGCTATGGGTTTTTCGAGGGATTTTCATATAAAGAAATTTGAATATTTCCTTTGATTGTTCCATGAAGGGGGAAATAACAATTTCAACACTAATTAACTTGCAATACACAAGACTCAGATACCTGATATCCACAAATATATAGTAATAAAAAGTTTATAATGTAGAATAAGCACCTGATTGAATATTTACTGAAACTATTGAATTTCGAAATTATTCAGTGATTTATTCATTGAATTGTTCAAATTGATGTCCATTTTCCATCACAAACTTTCTCAATACATATTAATCATTGAAATATGTCTTTGTAATTCCTGGAAAACTGCCTCTGTTGTTGCACAAAGTTCTTCAAGTATGTATTAAGAAGTATTAAGAAAGTTTGTCAATTGTATGTTGGGGAAAATGGATATCAATTTGAACATGTCAATGAATAAGTTACTGAATAATTCCGGAATTCAATAATTTTAGTAAATATTTAATCGGGTGCTTATTCTACATTATGAACTTTTTATTACTATTTATTTGTTGCTATCAGGTACCCAAGTTTAGTGTTTTGTTAATTAATAAGTGTTGATATTGGTTTTGACCTCTCCATGGAAAAATTTGAAGAAATATTTCTTCAATTGGAACGTTTTTTATAAGAAAAATCCATAACCAACTATCAAAATTCAATATTTTAGTGATTTTGAGCAATTTTGAAAATGTTATATTCATTCTTCATATATCATTTTGAAGACAAAAAAATAAGGAATTCAATGAGCTTATGAAATACAGGGTGTTTCATTTGAAAAATCATTAGTTTGAGTCGTATCGCCAAAACCATATCCCGAAAAAAAAATTTAGGTGCGCTACTGGAATACGCGTGAAATTCTCTATGCGATGAGATTTTGGATTTGACATTTTTGTTGAGAAATTCCGTGGATATAGAGGGGGTCCAAAAAGTATAAATTTTCAAAATCGCCCTGTAGCTCATAAACGGAAACAGTCTTGCAAAATCTGATTAGGCGACATTGAGTTTCACGAAAAAGTGGCACAGGATCGCGAAAACCGCAAGGTTCTATCCCCAAAGATAACTGAGATATCCGGCAAAAGCATCGATAACTGGACACACTGTACACAACCCACAGTGTCTAGATATTTCCTGAGGTGCTTGAGCAGATTGTACAACAGAGCAGCGAATGGATACGGTATTAAGTATAAATTCCTGACTCCTTGCCAATTTCACCAGATCCTGTAAGGGCTATACCTTTTACTTTATTTATCCGAAGCATTTCCTTGCAAGGAAGAGGTAGAGACTATGAATGCGAATCGAAGCAAAACCTTTTACTTCCACCTCTTGCTTCTACCTTTTACTTGAAAGTTAATGCTTCATTTTTATAAATATTGACTATTGACTATAATGAGTTCTGTTCGATTTTAAAATAAACGCAGGTTACAGGGACAAAAGGAATCAAACACATAAAATAGTGTCGATGATCTATATTCGATTATCTTCAAAAGACTGACACACAATTATTTCCAGTAGACTCGCTACTTCCTAGTTTTGTTTATATAAAACACGTGGCATATACTCGGAACTGTATTTATGGAAATACCCTTATTCAGCTAGACATTCACGGCGCCCTGAATCCTAGTTGTTTTATGTTTATAGTTCAGTGACTCGAGTTTTGATTTTTGCCTAACTGATAATATATTCAACATTCGAGACCTCAAGAGATCTGTCTCTTGCAGACTGGAATCCCCCACGAGAACGCTGCAGGTCAGAGCACCGCGCGGCATCCACATGGAATCTCTGGGCGGCAAACTAGACGCCACCATCCTGCTGGACATGACCTTCAGGTCCGAGGTGGGGGCCATCCGACTGGACGCCGGATCCATCCTTATGCCGCTCCTGCCCACGGCCAAGGTCGTGTCGCGGCCTGCGACCGGCAGCAAGCACGACATCTTCCAACTGTGCGTGTGCGAGAGCGGTAAACTGTTTTTAGCTTCCCCCCACTTGGTGTGTGCTTCGGAGAATGACGATAGGCTGTGTCGATAGTGTGAGGGAATGAAGGTACTTTTCAGCAATGACTTGATCTACTATCTAGACCGCTGATGTTGTGAGATCATAAGAGGTTCATTCACTAGAGTCTAGTCATAGCACCATAGCGAGGTAATATTGCGCGTGGCTCGCTGCTCGCTGGGCGCGACAACTTGCAGCGACACAAATAACTATTTATTATACAAATGAAAACAGTAGTAGATTTTTTAGTCCAGATTATTGAGACAAAAAACCGTGAGCTTGAATCTAGTATTTTTCCCGTGTATGATAGACTATTTTTTTCTGTGACAGAAGAAAGGACGAACCAATATTGAGGAGATATTACATTATTGTGAAATCTGAAAATTATCGACGTGAAATTTCGTGTTTCAACAGTAGGGACATCTGCATTGTAGGCATCTTTATCATTCTTTTGAGGTAATCAAATATCTGATGTCACTGCTGTCAGTCTAATTCTGTGATTTGATTCAAAAAAAGTTGCGAATTTAGTGGTTGTTTAACCACGAAGTCGAATGGAAGATAAAATGACTTGCAGTTCTTTCTCGAAGACGGTATTATTGATTCATTTTTCGGAACTATAGCACAAGCAAAAGCCATCAATATTGTATACAGTGTCATTCATAAAGTCGGCATCATATGGTAAAAACTTTTATCAATGACTTATTTTGAAATTCGAGTTGGACGTTAAGTTTTGCTTCAAGAAAGATGAAAAATGGCCTACTCAATCGGGGTCACGTGACTTTCCCTACATGTCAAAAGTGACATTTTTTCAAATTAATCGCTGAAAGTAGGCTTATTTGTTCGAATGTCGAAAAAGTTGTTTCTATTTGAATTTTACATATTATGTGACTTGGATTTTATATTTCTATTACATTTTTTAGATTTCGATTTTTTTGAAATTTTTCGAAATTTCTGTAATATCAAAAAAAAATTGTAAATTCGATGAAACTACTTCATACCAGTAGTTTCATCATGCTACTAACTTTCATTAAATATTACAGAAATTTCGAAAAATTAAAAAAAAAATCATAATCTAAAAGTTGCAATAGAATGATCAAATTTGAGAAGAATGTGTAGAATTGGAATAGAAACAACTTATTCAAGTTAACTTTTTCGATTTTCGAACAAATGAGCCTACTTTCAGCGATTGATTTAAAAAAATGTCACTTTTGACATGTAGCGAAAGTCACGTGACCCCGATTGAGTAGTCCATTTTTCATCTTCTTCGAAGCAAAACTCAACGTTCACCTCGAATTCCAAAATAAGTCATTAATAAAAGTTTTTCCCACATGATGCCGACTTTATGTGACACTGTATATAGGGTGATTCAGAATTCAAGGCGCAAACTAAAATGCGAGATACATCTCATCATTTTGATCAAAGAAGTTCATATAAACATAAGTCCGATCTCGTTTATTAGCGGAGCTACAGGGGGTCAAAGTTTAATTATTTTTTTTCTATTAATTCAAATATCTCGCTTACTTTTCAAAATATCGTTTTGAAATTTGGTGTGGTCAATACTTTATAGAAGATCATAATTTGAAGCTATTCAAAGATTTTCAAAATCTACAGGGAGATACGTTTTTGGGGGTAGAGGCTTCTTTATCCCCCCCCAAACTTTTTCGTAGTACGCCTCTGGCATCTTTCAGTGATCAAATTGTGTGGTTCGTTCAATTCACAGGCTTTTTCCTTCTTCCATTTTTTTCGAGAAACACCCGTTTTGAGATAAAATAACATGTTTTAGAACGTATAATAATATGCTTATTTATTTCAAAAACGGTTCGTTCTCGAAAAAACTTTAAGAGCAAAAAAAGCCTCTAAATTGAACGATCCACATGATTTGATCACTGAAAGATGCCAGAGGCGTATGACGGAAAAGTTTGGGGGGAATAAGGAAGCGTCTACCCCCATAAACGTATCACCCTGTAGATTTTGATGATCTTTAGATGGCTTGAAGGATCATCTTCTAGAAAGTATTGACCACATCGAATTTCAGAATAATATCTTGACAAGTAAGCGAGATATTGCAACTTATAGAAGAAAATAATTCAGCTTTGACACCCTGTAGCTCCGCTATTGAACGAGATCGGACTAATGTTTATGTAAACTTTTTTGATTAAAATGATGAGATCTATCTTCCATTTCAGTTTGTGCCTTAAAACCTGAATCACCCTGTATATGTGATATACAGTGTGGTCATTTAAGTGTGCAACATATGGGAATCTTTTATGAATTGTACAACCAAAATACAGATAATGCCGAAAGTTGGTGCATGTTTGGTGATCATTTCAGGAGCACTTAGAATGGTTGCAAGTCACACAGCATAGGTACAGGGAAGGTCAAGAAATATGAAAATTGCTCAAGAGTAAAGTACCCTTATTTCGGGAAATTCAGCAAAATAATATTGAGAAAAGTTGTTTACATTGACTAAGACATTTTTTAGTTCTTCAATTTTGTTCGTTAATAATTTCCCAATTTGTAATATTCCAAATACAAAATTTTCACTTCATATGGAAGTTTCTGAATATGCATATTATCATTAATGATGTTTAACGTTGTTGGAAATATGGTTTGCGAAATTTTAAAGTTAACCTGGATATCGTGGCAACAAACATGAAGTTTGCGACTCCCTAAAAAAATTGAAATCCAAGTTAATTGCACAAATATGCTTGAATTTGAACAAAGATATTCCCAACTGATTTTGTTATGATCAACTCATGAAAGTATTCAGGGTGAATATAAAAAAAAATACAAATTGGGAAATTATTCACGAACAAAATTGAAAAACTGAGAGATGTATAAGGAGGCCATGTTTTGATATTCAGACATAACTTTCAATTGTAAACAACTCTTCTCAATAACATTTCGCTGAATTTCCTGAACTAAGGGTACTTTATTCTTGAGCAATTTTTATATTTTTTGACCTACCCTGTATGCTGTGTGACTTGCAACCATTCTGAGTGCACCTGAAATGATTACCGAACATGCACCAACATTCGACACTATCTGTATTTTGCTTGTGCAATTCAATAAAAAGATTCCCATATGTTGCACACTTAAATGACCACACTGTATATCCGGGAAAAAAGTACTCACTTGAAAAAATTTATCATTTCGTTTCATTTCATCGGGTGATTAATCATGAATTCGGGGAGTCATTGCTATAGAAGAATCATAATGAATTTTCGTATTACTGAATGGAAAATAAAAGTGATCTCTTTGGCGTGTATTGGGAATAATCAGGGCCTACTCTGGTGAGATAGAGTAGGCCCTGGAATAATACAACATTCCTGCACATCTTTTGTTTTACCGGAAGAACTATTACTTATCCTTTCGCAGGCGTAAAAAAAAGGTAACTCGCTTCCTTTTGCACATTGAGCAGGAGCGTTTTCAGTCGAGCAGCCTGGATAAGATTTTGGGACTCTTGGGACATAAAATCAGCGGTCTAGATAGTAATTATGTCGGTGCTTTTCACCGATTAACCATGTCTGTCAATTATCGATTTTTTTTTATGTGTAATGTACAGGGTGAACAACTAAGAACGGCCGTCTTCAACCATTCTTCCAACTTTGATCGTTAATATCTTCCATTAGTGAAGAGCTTTCATGTTGTGGTTTTCGTTGTTCTGTTGAGATTTCGTTTCTCTATTTCATCGGTTAATAATATGCATACCATTATATACAGGGTGAGTCAAGCTGAACGCATCGAAACACAACCTCATTCTTCTGTGAATTATTGAAACTCAACCTCACTTTTTTACTTGGTTACAGAGGAATCAAAGAATTGAAATAGTTTTTCACAATATTTTGGCAAACGAATCGTGTTTTTTGCGCTATTCATTATTTCGAGCATGCCTTCGCATTGTGCTGTTGTACGATGCACAAAAAATGCAGCAAGAGACTGACGAATATGATTTTTCAGGTAAATAGTAATCTCACATAGTTATCATTATGAAATGTTGTCATTCCTTATTTAAATTCCTTCTGCCTTCTGTCACTTCTGCAATACAAGCTAATACTAGCTGCTAATAGATTGAAAATGTCTACAACACACACGATCGTCAGCATGTCAGACCAGTCCTCCTGATTGATTGCATGAATCCAATCTTCTTGCATTATTCTAGAAATTTCGGGTATATTTCTATTAGCTCTTATTGCAGAAGGAATTCCGATGAGAAATCAGAGAAATAACCAAATTTCAAAAATGAAAACTATATATGTTGGGTTGCGTGCAAGAACTGTCAGATGACCGACGCTGGAGATGAAACATTAAATCACAACCTCACTTTTCTCATTTGTTTACAAGTGATCAAAATAGTTTTTCACAATTATTTTGGCATGATGTGAATCGTATTTTTCGGCTATTCACCAATTTGCTCATGCCATCACATTGTGCTGCTGTAAAATGCACAAAAACTGCAGCGGAAGACGAAGGAATCCGGTTGGTACATTATGATCTAAAAGTAAGTACCTACTATAGTCAGTCACATATAGTTTTCATTTTTGAAATATGGTTATTTCTCTGATTTCTCATCGGAATTCCTTCTGCAATAGGAGCTAATAGGAATATACCTGAAATTTCTAGAATAAAGCAAGAAGATTGGATTCATGCAATCAATCGGGTGGACTGGTCTGACATGCTGACGATCGTGTGTGTTGTAGACATTTTCAATCTATTAGCAGTATTAGCTTGTATTGCAGAAGTGACAGAAGGCAGAAGGAATTTCAATAAGGAATGACAACATTTCATAATGATAACTATGTGAGATTACTATTTACCTGAAAAATCATATTCTTTAGTCTCTTACTGAATTTTGTGTGCATTGTACAACAGCACAATGCGAAGGCATGCTCGAATTAATGAATAGCGCAAAAAACAGGATTCGTATGCCAAAATATTGTGAAAAACTAGTTCAATCCTTTGATTCCTCTGTAACCAAGTAAAAAAGTGAGGTTGTGTTTCAATAATTTACAGAAGAGTGAGGTTGTGTTTCAATA